ATAGTATGTCGTCCAAAATCATGAAAAAACTGTCTAAGTATAGTGTGTTGTAAAAAAATATTTTTGAAAAAAATATCACATAGTATGTCAATCAAAATCATGAAAACCCATCATAGCATAGTATGTCATCAAAAATCATCAAAAAAAGTCAAAGAATGGTATGTCGTCTGAAATCATGAAAAAAAATCTTAGTATAGTATGCCCTAAAAAATAATGAAAAAACATAGTATAGTATGTCATCAAAAATCATGAAAAAAAAGTCATAGTATGGTATGTCATCAAAAAATGTGATAAAAACATCATAGTATAGTATGTTATCAAAAATCATGAAAAGAAGTCATAGTATAGTATGTCATCCAGAATCATGAAAAAACATCATACAGTATGTTATCAAAAATCATTAAAAAAAGTCATAGTATGGTATGTCATCAAAAATGTGATAAAAACGTTATAGTATATCACATCCTCAAAAATGTCATAGTACAGTATGACTTTGAAAATCAGGAAAAAATACCATAGAATAGTATCAGAATCAGAACAAGAATCAGAATCAGAATCAGCTTTATTTGCCATGTAAGTGTTTACATAGAAGAAATTTGACTCTGGTAGACTTGCTGTCAGTGTATCAGAATTGACATAAGTAATCAAAATGTAGAAGAAGTGGAATATACAGAAATACACAATATACAAAAAATATACAGATGTACATCAAATACAAAAAATTTCACAATATACAAGGACGCAAGTGTTGTTTGTCCTGCCACTCTGTGACTGTTAGGAGTTCATCAGAGCGACAGCCCAGAGTGTGAGGGGTCTGCAAAGATGTTCCCTGCCCGTTTCCTGACCCCTGACCAGTACAGGTCCTCGATGGACGGAAGATCAGTCACAATAATCCTCTCTGCACACCTGATTGTCCGTTTCAGTCTGTTACTGTCCAGTTTGGTGGCAGATCCAAACCAGACCGTGATGGATGTGCAGAGAACAGACTGTATTATGGCTGTGTAGAATGTGATCAGCAGTTTCTGAGGCAGGTTGAGCTTCCTGAGCTGTCGCAGGAAGTACAGCCTCTGCGGGGCCTTTTTCCAGACAGTGTTTATGTGGGAGGTCCACTTCAGGTCCCGAGAGATTGTGGTACCCAGAAACCTGAAGGTGTCCACAATAGACACTGTGCTGTTGAGGATGGTGAGGCGGGGCAGTGTCGGGGGGCTTCTCCTGAAGTCCGCTGTCATCTCCACAGTCTTGAGCGGGTTATTGTCCAAAATCATGAATAAAAGTCATAGTACAGTATGTCGTCCCAAATCATGAAAAAAGTCATAGTATAGTATGTCGTCCAAAATCATGAAAAAAAGTCATAGTATAGTATGTTGTCCAAAATCAGGAAAATACGTCATAATAGTATGTCATCAAAAATCATGAAAAAAAAAGTTATTGTATAGTATGTCGTCCCAAATCATGAAAAAAAAGTCGTAGTATAGTATGTCATCAAAAATCATGAAAAAGTCATTAAGTCATCTAAAATCATGAAAAAAAGTCATAGTATAGTATGTCATCCAAAGTCATGTGAAAAATTAACAATATAGTATATCATCCAAAATCATGAAAAAAAGTCCTAGTACAGTAAGTCGTCAAAAATTATGAAAAATAGTTATAGTAAGTCATGTGAAATCATGAAAAAACAGTCACAGTATAGTATGTCGTCCCAAATCATGAAAAAAAAACAACGTCATAGTATAGTATGTCGTCCAAATTCATGAAAAAAAAGTCATAGTATAGTATGTCGTCCCAGATCATGGAAAAAAAAGTCATAGTATAGTATGTCGGATGAAAAACAAAAATTGTAAATAACAATGCCATAGATTAACTTGTCATAGAAAATGTGATAAAGTCATAGTATATAATATAAAAAAAATTATAACAAAATGTCATAGTCCTTTGAACCTTTTGACACTTTCCAGGGGCCTTATTTGTCACTGAACAGATGTATAAACTTTGAATACTTCATAAGACCCTCTGGACACCTTGTTAGCGCACAGAAAGAACTGCGGCATCAGTCTTCTCATCTAAATACTGGCAAGAATGTGAATAAATGTTTCCCAAAACATCAAACACTTTCTTTGAGGTAGATCATTAAAAAAGTCACCATGGAATCGAAGAGAACTGCAGTTAATGCAGTGTTTTGAAAGTATTTTAGAACTAAGTACCCAAACAAATGATGAAAAGCATTAAAAGACTGGTATGAAAAAAAATCTCCAGAACCACTGACCAACCTGAACTTTCCTTCATAAAAAAAGAGCTCACTTGTAATGTTTTCATACCTTGACTTACCCCAGCATTATCTAAGCTAAGAGCCACAGAAGTGGGACCTTTTATAACATGTGAATCGATACCTTGAAATACATGTGTGGCAAGAGAGAGAAAAGTTTGCTCAGTTCACTGAAGCATTGTGACCCTTCATGGCCAAGTTGTCAGTGAAGCATACAGGAAGGATCCAACGGGGCAGGAGGGAGCGAGGATTCACGGGGAGGCTGAGAGTCAACAGACGAGCCAATTCCCCAGAGATTTCTGGCTGTCTCGCTCTGTCTGTTGACACTCTCCTACTCCATTGACTTTTTCATTAACCCCTTATCAAAATGTTTTTCTCTCCCACACTCCGCTGACATTAGCCCCACTCCTTCTTTCCCCCCACAAGATCCTGGTTGTGTTGTTCCACCTTGTGGTCAGAATTGATATGAGGGTGTCCTCCTTGCACCGACAGAGATGAATCAGTTCATGTATTGTGATTTCTTTGTTCTGGTGGTTTCATTTTGTCCCCCATTTCCTAAAAGAAGTAAACCTCAGTATGGGAACATTTACGATGGTGAGGAGCAGGTTGGTGTTTGCATAGGAGTATAAAGCCAGTTTTTGTTATGGTTTTCTTTCAGTGCATTTGCAAATCAGAAATTTTACCTTCAGCAATTTTAAAAACCAAACGACCAAAATAACCACAATAATAACAAAGAACTTTAATAAGTCTCTTTAACTATGTCACAGACCTGTGGTTCAGTAAGCCTAAATTATAGACTGGCATGAGACCCCAACCCTGTGAAAATGCTTTATTTGGTGCTGAAAAGTTCAAATTGGCCAAAATAACTAATGGCCTCTCACTTATTTTAATTACTTGCAACTTGTAGAGCAGCCAAAATCAATGTTTTCATTGGCCTGCATTGAGAGTTAGGTGCCCACGGCCTCTGCAGCAAGTGTGAGTACATCTTTCACTCCAACTTTAACTTTAGTGCTAATGTTCCTACTTAAAATAATGAGAGAAGTTTGCATGATTCATGTCTGTAATTTCCAAATAAAACAGGGAATAGTACTAATATCTACTAGGCCAATGTCAAGGCAGGAGTTACTAAGTCTTGTACCTGTAAATACTTCATGAATATTCAGCCTTAATAAGCTAACAATGACTAGAAAAATGCAAAAATCAAAGCTATAACAAAGTGCTTTAGTTTCTTTTTTTGGTGTGTGTGTTTTCCTCCTAGTACCATGACATTGATTTGTGCCGGGCCATTTTCTCCAGTTGTTAAACACACTGCTCATACTATTTGTCTGCTCCAGCTGTGCAGCTTGAGTGCACAGATGTAGCACCCACTAGTGGTGTGAATAATAATCTGAGACTTAAAGCGAGGGTTCGGTGAAAGTGTCATCAAAGCTGTGGAGCGTTTGGACGTTTGGAGCAGAAATAATGTGATGGAGGCAAAGTCAGGAATTGCTGTAAAAATAAATAACTTGAGCATTAGTAGTAATACACAGTTATTTGTGTGATTTTCTATTGGTGTTTCTGCATGTTTCGTCCAGCTGGTTACATGTAATTGGAAACATTTTCCTCTTAGGAAAAAAGGAATAAACAGACTCCTGCTGTTTATTTATAGAGTAGAGTAGACAGTATCAGTGTAATGGTGCAGACAGCAAGAGTAAATGGTCTCTGAGTTCAGTAAGCATGTAATAATGAGAAGCATCAGGTGTTTACCCTCCAGCACATCGCCAATTTCCGTCCTAAGTGATGATGGACTCGTGGAGAAAGGTGATAAGGATCCAGTTTTACTGTAGCGGAACACCTTTCTGACATTCATCTCCCCAACTCTCATCCAAACCTGCACCACTCTGTTGTGGAAAATTAAATGTTTCCACTTGCAAACTATCTAATAATTTCAACCCTGGCCACAATATGTAGGATCCTAAAATTGAGTTGAGAGTTGTGACTTGACGAACACCACATTTCATGATAATGTGGACTGTGAGTAGGACCTATAACCATATATTGATCTTAGCACATGTTGACTTTGTCAGCTGCATGATTACTTTATGCTATAATGCTCATTAACTGTGTCTTTTTCTCCATATCCTTACAGATGACGATAACACAACACTGAGGACAGGAAGAAATACGTTGCCATGGAAAAGAAAAGCATAACACAGATCAAGAATAGATTTTTTTTTAATTATCAAAAGTGTAACTCATGTACAATTCCCTGAAGAAAGAATGACTGATAGAAACTGTTAAGACAGTGTAACAAACCATTCTCCCTCTGTTTTAATCAGTTCATCAATCAGATGTTCAAAGACGTAATCACCTTCTCAACCCAATCTACAGCAAAAAGTCTTTGCATTTTAAGTTTCTGCAAACAACGAATACGCTACATTTATACATTATTTTGTAGCTGATCTGTTGAATCTTTCCGAATCACTGGGGCAAAGGTGTGGTTAGGTTTTGGCACAAAAATCAGCTGGTAATTGTTTGGAAAAGATCGTGTTTTGGCTTAAAACACCCGCATTAGGTGCCACAAAACCCGCTGGAAAAGCAGAGATGGGTTGGTGAAAAACACCCAAATTCGGTGATTAAAGCGGCGCAATGTGTGTCGGTAAAAAACACCCAGGTTTGATGGCTCAAAGGCTGCTGGGAAACCCTGCAATATGCTGCTAGAAACACCTATGTTGAGAACCAAAAACACCCACACAAATGCCACAAAGGGTCGCCAGAAAAAAAGTTGTCTGCAGCTTTAGAGACGATATGAAACATATTCATTGTTTGCAGAAACATAAAATGTGAACATTTTCTTCTGGCAAACTGGGCTTGTATTCTGTATAAGCAGAAGGGATGAGGACAATCATACTTCATTCCATGAGTACAGCAACCACGGCACATGATAACCGAAAACATAATGATACAGTAAAGAGGCAACGGAAGACACCGAATAAAAAGACAATTGTTGAATCACAAAAAAAAAAAAAAAACAGGATTTCCAGGGGACAAAAAGCAGAGACCAGGCAACAATGTGAGAGTAGTTTTATCCCTCATCCAAAACTGATTCCAACCACATAGCCCGTTTAAAGTTACCAGACTCGAGGTGCTGTTGAGAGGAGGACGAGCTGATAGCAGCGAGTGTGAGGAAGCTCAGAAGTCCTCTTCTGCGTTTCGACTCTTGCAGGTCTTGAGTTGTTTCAGACGCTCGATGCACTCCTCCACAGTGCGCTCGCCGTGGACTTTGTTATCGCGGGTGCGTACATTCACCGTGTTACTTGACTTCTCTTTCTCTCCCACCACTTTTCCAAGCAGGGAAACATGCAAAGAGAACAAAGGAGAGGAACAAAAATCAATATCCAGATTGACAGTGAGAAAGAGATCAAAGATCAAAGATAGGAAAAAGACAGAAGAGTGAACGAAAGAGTGTGTTGCCACTGACCCAGGATGAAGTTGTACTGTGTCAGCTGTGAATTTCTGATCTTTTTGTTCAGGGTGCAGCCGGGGTCGAGATCCACTTCAGCCATGAAGCCGCTGTTGTGGAATTCCTGCTTGACCTGCCACATTAACCAGACAGACAACCAACAGTGAAACAGTTAAGTCCGTGCCAGCGGGTTTAAAAAGTTCATTCACTCCCTTTCATCATTTTAACTGACCTCCATAAATCTGTTTCTCAAATGTGGTCTAGCACATTTTGGACAAGTTGTCAATTTGGCTGTACTGAAGATTATATTTCTGCAACCATTATTATCACGCTGTGTGGACTGACCTGCTGTCTTTTCCAATTACATGGATATCACGCCAGTGCAGCTGTTTATTTTACAAACGGATTTTTTGTTCAAGTAACGTGTTCAACACAAAAACTGATCAAATTCAGTTTCCACACGATTTAAAAGGTAACCTAAATTTTACTATTACAGCTTGGGTTTATTTTTGTTGCTCTGGCCATCAGTTGTTATAACACTGTGCCTGTTAAAAATAGGTCCAACATGGCAACAAACACAAGCAGTCAGACAATCAGTGAGGTTGTAAACAAGCCAACAGATTAGTTTTAATATGTTTGGAAGAGAAAACAGAGGTGAACTGGCAGTTCAAATCCATCAGTATTCCTGTGTCCTCTGTTTAGGGTTCTCTAAATGAGGTGGTAGCTGATGTGGCTAAAAATGAAAGCTTGATTACAACCTGTGTGATTTTCACGCCATTTTTCTCTCTTGCCCCATTGAGTCGATTTTTGACAATGTAGCCCCACTCTGAGATCTCAGAAATCATTTGGTGAGTAAACTGTTAAATCATAATTAATACAACCAATGGCCTGAGCAATGAAAATACAAGTGAAGCTGTACAAACATGTGGTTCTCCTTTTAGTCTTTTTAAAGATGCAGAAACATGAACTTCAGAAGATGACAGTATTTTATATTGTTAAATATTTTAAGGCCATGTCAATAAGCATAAAACATCACACTTAAAGCACAATTAACACTGTAGCAGTGCTGAAACAGGACAGGATTCCTGCCTGTGGGTGCATATGTGATAAAACACACTGTTGAATTAAAGCAATAATTCACTTGCAAAACGACCATTTGTTTATCAGTTTCTCACCACATGTTGAATTTGAGAAAATAAACTTTGTTTTTCTTGCATGCCTTTAGGGTAAATGGAGAATCCAAAACAGGCAAACACTCTTCATGAATTAAAGTAAAAAAGGGTCCTCGTTTAACAACAGCAAAACTGTATCAAAACATCTGTTAACAAACAAACAAACACACACTTCTGCAGTATAATCCAAGTCTCATTTATCTAGTCGTATGCTCAGTGTTTCTCAAACATGCATTTTTAGGGAGAAGTGGGTTACGATATCACACTTCTACCTACACAAAGCACACTACTCGTCTGTGTGTGAGAGACTGTTTGTACTGAGTTTTTAAACTGTAAGATTTTACCAAAAATGCTTGTGTTTGTGAAGCACTGAGCAAACAACTGGAAAAATTACACTTGGATTAAGCTGCATGAGTTGGGTGAGAGTTTGTAAATGGATAATTTGATTTAACTTTGGTATTATTAAACACTGTCCATGTTTACTTCAATTCATCAAGAATGTTTGCCTTTAGGGATGTCAATAGTTAACTGTTTATTGAATAACCGCCAATAATATTTTTGACAGGTTACCTAGGTCAGGCTAAAGGTTACTTTTGTAGCTCGTCAGTTTACTGCACTGCACACCAACCGGGTCCAACTAACAGTGCCACTCATTTGGCGATTACTGCTCCTAACGCTATCCCAACAGCGCTGCTGTGGAAACATTGTGTTGACCCTCCAGTCTCTCCCAAGGTTGCCCTAGAGAGTAAGCGGCTGTTAGCTGTGTTAGCACAGGTAGCAGTGTCAGAATGGCCAGTGGTGCTAGCATAATAAAGGGGTTTTGCAGCTCAAATTTGAGCCGCTTCCTCACCGGTAGACCGGAGGGGTGGCCACCATGTTTCCACAGCAACCCTGTCCTGCTACCAGGACATAACCAGCAGTACAACCAAATGAGCAGCACCGCTAGCTAGCTCTTACCTGACTAGGGCTGTGCGATTGCCTCTAAATTTCATATTGTGGATTGTCATTGCTCTAGATCAGGGATTCTCTGACAGCCATGTATTTCCCCAAAAAACATCTCTTAATGCACAGTAGAGCGCTGTTTTTTTCCAAAATCGCCTTGATATCCAGCAAATCGCCTGGCAACCCTCCAATCGGCAATATACGATTTGATCGCTGATCGTCCCAGGCCTATACCTGACCTGGATGATGCTCACTGAAGAGCAGCCAAAGCTAACTTTAGCTAACCTGCAGTTATTGGGTTCTCAAAAGCAAAATTAACCTAAACTGACATCCTTATTCACCTTATTTGGATTCTCTGTTCACTGGAGCCATGCAAGTATAACAAGTTTTCTTTACAAATTCAGTGTAACACAGGAAGAGTAACTGATAAATAAATGGTCGTTCTGTGGATGAAGTATTCCTTTGAAATGTCTTATAACTTCAGTACAGTTTGAGTTGCACATGTTCATACTGTTAGCGTATTCATTAAACACTGCTTATACTGTATCTAGTGTATTGATGTCAACCCCTTACTGCTTTTTATATCCCCACTATGTACATTACTCTGCACTCTACTGCTTTTTACACTTTTGTTTAGATGCTAAACTGCATTTTGTTGTCCCTGTGTCTGTACTCTGTGTTCAATGACAATAAAGTTGCATCTAATCTAATCTTGTGAGTGACATTATGTACTAAGGAAGCTGCGGTCAGTGGTTACCTTCTGGGCATACTCCTCACAGGTCGGTCCCACGGGTACAACCATCACTTGATTAGGAGAGAGCCACAGCGGCCTGAAACAGAAGAGGGCACATTGAAATGTTTAGCAGAAAAGCAAACCAGGTATATGAGCAAATATTTACACCCCCATTTTTCCCCCGTTATATTCCTGTTCAGTCAATCTAAAAGTTTCTATCAGTGCTCAGGAGTAAAGCATCCCATCAGCACCTATTAGCCTTTTAAAAATGACTGTTTACAAACCATTTGCCTCCGTAGTTTTCAGTCAGGATGGCAATCATCCTCTCCACTGATCCCAGGATAGCTCTGTGGATGATCACTGGTCTCTTCTTGTCGTCACCGTCGTGGCTGCAAAATCATTTGAAGGAGGGAAAAAATTAGGAACTCACACAAAGAAAGAAAATCAAAACGACAACAACAGTGATCATCTGGAGAAATTAGTATTTTCTCATTATTAGGGGACAGCAAATGTTTCTTTTCTTTGTAAGACAGCATTATTTTTACTTTAACATTTTAAAAACTCCATACCTTCTGGGGCAGCTACAATAGTCTTTTTATTTCTCCATAAATGTACATCATATAGTTTCATTAAAGCAATCCTATTTTCTACTTTCACATCAGTACTTAAAGTCATCCCATATATATGCCATAACATGGATTAATTTCTTCAATATTTCTTACACAAAACTTCTTTGTTTATGCAAATTGAATTACAGTATGCTTAATGATACACATGCATTTGCAGCCACAAAAAACAATATTTTACTCTTCTGCCATTTTATTTTTAAACATATATTAAAGCAGTAAATGACCTGACGAAGGAGAGATTGAAGCGGATTGGAAGCTGGAAATCAAGCTGAATTGTGGCACACTGATGGTACCGGCCGATGGCATCCTTGATCTGAATGTCGATCTGCAAAGAAACGACACGAGCGTTCAGCAGCGACCCTCCTGCTGTTTTACAGTTTAAGTACATCATTACTGCAGCACATGGCTCACCTTTGGTCCATAAAAAGCTCCATCACCGGGGTTGAGAACCCACTTCTCCCCAAAGTCATTCAAGCTGTTCTCCAGTTGCTGTAAAAACAATTACCGCTTTGTTACAATGTCAACGGCTGACCAACACGCGAGTAAACAGTGGTGTTAAGCAAAGCTGTATATTTAGACCTGACATTTTCTTCATCTGGAACTAATCACTGAACTGAGAAATGTTAACGTCTCAATAATATTTTATGGGAGTTAATGAGGTGAGGGAAACATGCAGCAAGTTCTGTTCCAGTCGCTGTGCCAAGTTTGCAAGTCAGTTTTTTTGTGTATATAATTTTCCACCTTTGAGCATGTAAACATTAATCATAAAAAGTCAGTGCTGAATTTAGGAAATGTTTTCCTTGGAGAAAAGTGTCATGATAGGTCAACCAAATAGCTGCAACTTAGAAGCTATTATAATTCTCCTCTGTTTTTCACAGCTTCAGATGTGTTACTGGTCCTACTCATATTATCCTTAATTTGAAAACTGTGAGAAACACATGCAGTGAGCAACAATCTCTGCAGTGTAGCCTTTAAGTTCACTGGTCTATTCTGTCCGTCAGCAGACTGCAAAGTCTTTAATATTTAACAGTTACTGTGGCCACTGGATTGATTGTTAATAAAATAACATGTTAAAAATAACTTCCACTATCAT